CATTTGTGAATTCCAGGAGTGGAGAATTCTAAAAGCTTCCAGGGAGGAAAGTGCTGTGAACAGACTCCCAAAAATAACAGAATGAAAGAAGACAAGAAAGCAGTAACATCAAAGTTCTATAAAAACAAAATTCTTAATTTGGAATGATACAGCCAACCAACGGTTCAAGCAATCAAGAAAACATAGGTTCACTAAGAAAATTTGTCACCTACGTATTCTATGTATTTTATTGTTTAATTACAAAGATGCACTCAAACAAAACTGGGAACATGGGGGCGGGAACTGAGAGGCAAATACTGGAAACAAAAACAGGAACATCTGAGTGTCTTTGAATAGACTGGGGAGAGAAAATAGACCAGAGTAGAGTAGTAGGTAGAGTAAAAGGTCAAATTCTGGACCTATTTTGGAAATACAGCTGACAAGGTTCATGTCGTATATGAGGTATGGAAGAGGAATTAAGGATGACTCCAAAGTTTCTGGCCTTACCAACTAGGAGAGTTGTCATTTGATTAGATAGGGAAGGCTGATGGAAAGTTTGGGATATGTTGAATTGAGATTCTAAGGAGACATTCCTGCAGGTGGAGGTGTTAAGGAGGTAACTGGATACAAAAGTCAGGAGTTCAGAGGAGACGTCCAGACTAGAGATAAGAGTTAGTGGTGTATAGATATTTGAAACCATAACCTGGATGAGATCATCAAAAAAGTACATCAAAAAAAAAAAGAAAAGAAAAGAAACAAACAAACAAACTGTGGCTTGAATTTTCTCTAGATCTTTGTCAATCTAGGCAGTGATTTTGTGAATTGCTAGGTTTCGATCTTCAAGTCATGCAAGAAATCAATCAAGCACCTCAGATATTTTACCCATCATTCAAAGGTCTTCCACTCTTTCCAGTAAGATCTTATGACTACAAGGCTAAGTAACAATCAAGAAGTGGATAAATTATGCCAATGGGCAAGACTTAGCAAATGATTAAAGAAATAATCTATTAATAATTTACCTCCCACCAATCCCTTGATTTTAATTGAGGACAGATCATTTTAAAGGCAACTGGCTTATATAATCATTCTTCTTCACAAAGTCTCTTTTCCTAATGCAGTAGCAACCTGGTTTCCGTTTGAGTGATTATCCAGGTACAGCTAACTATAAGAATTTCTTTATCTTAGATAAGAATTTCATTCATTTTAGCACATTTTATTTAGGTATCATATTCACATACAGACAGAGGTGCAAATATAATTGGAACTATTCTACAAACTATTCATACATGTCACCATTTTATAATTTCCTCCTACATCCTGAACTGATTCTTCTCTTAAACTTTCAATGAAAATTATAATTGAGCTTGAGTCACAAAGTAAAAGATTACCTCCCCAATAATGTCAGTTTTGTTATTAGAGTTCATCCTCTTGCATCCCTACTCACTGAAATTCTTCAAAATTTCTTATGAGGGGGGAATTTTAATTTTAAAGGGAAATACAAGTGTGAACATGGAAAAGCATTATTTGGAGGTATCCCCAAGAGACTTCTACAAGATTGATATGCTAAATTATTCCCATTTATTCACTTGTTGAATAAACCTTCTTCTTTTTTTTTTTTTTTGAGACAGAGTCTTGCCCTGTCACCCTGGGTAGAGTGCAGTGACATCATCATAGCTCATTGAAGCCTCAAACTCCTGGACTAAAGTAATCCTCCTGCCTCTGCCTCCCAAATAGCTGGGACTACAGGCACACATCACGACCCCTGGCTAAAAATGCCTGGCTAATTTTTCTATTTTTCGTAGAGACAGGGGTCTCACTCTTGCTCAGGCTGGTCTCCCGACCTCAAGCAATCCTCCCGCCTGGGACTCCCAGAGTGCTAGGATTACAGGTGTGAGCCACTGCGCCTGGTCTTGAACAACGATTTTTGAATATTTGTTTTTTAAGTACACTGATGCATGTTTATATTCATAATAGCCAAACACTGCAAACAATCTAAATGTCAACTGTAAATATCCAAAACAACTGCAGAAAAACTTGTGTTATATTCATGATGGAATACTATGCAACAATAAAAGCCAAAAA